CAGGCTGGTTGGCTGTAGTAGAAAGGTTTCAGTAGCTGATGAGTCCTGTGGTTTGGAGTCTGAAGATGCATCCGGCTGCCAGGAACACTGACCTGCGTGCTCTCTTCATGATGATGGCTGACATAAGCTGCAGTGCTGTGTGTGTGTGGCTTTCATGGGTTCTTGGAAAGGTGAAACAATGCAGCTTCAGGTTGGGTTACAAGTAGCATTGGTACATTGACAGCGTGACTGTGATCACATTTCTTTTTTTATTCACTGGGCTCAGTACGTCCTTTTTATGTGCTCAATCTACTTCCCTGCAACAATAACTTTCTTGTTGTACGTGACACAGCTAGCTTCTGTTCTGTAGAATAATCTTCTCTCTACTGTTAGAAGATGCAAATTCTGCTGATCAGGCCCCTCCCCTCACTACATTCGAAGAGTTCGTCTTCGCTATACGTCACTTTGTACTTTACTTTGAGCTGGGATCAGTGTAGGCGGTGGATTCATGTCGGTGTTCTGTGTAATGCAAGAGAGCATGGAAAATACACAGCAAATGACTACATGCCTTTTACGTGTGTGCGTGAGATCCCCAAACCACTGGATGGAGATGTTAGATGTTATACCGTATTACAAATACTAGCCAGTATGTTCGCCTTTGGTATCCTGACACCTGATATGTACGTGGATGTTTCTGATGACTTGGCAAGCAAATATTAAAGCCCAGTTTCAGTGGGCTGGGTGGAGATGGGTAAGAACCTCTATCAGGTTTTTATTTGCAAAGTGTCCCCATTAGGGGCAGTTTCCTCACTTCCTGTTGGGACACGGTGCAGTGGGAAATCTTCCAGTCACCAGTGGAGACTTATAGGGTTGATTTACTAAAGGCAAAAGAGGCTTTTCACTGTGCAAGGGAATTTGCACATTGCAGGGGAAGTTTCACCTCGGCTTAGTGAATGAGGTGAAGCTCTGCTGACTTCCATCATTCAGTCATGCTTGATTGGGTCTTATCTGCAATGTGGCATTTAGTGCTGGTTCACACCTGGGCATTTTACAGCGCTGATCGAAGCGCTGTAAAACGCTCAAACAGTGAGATCCCATTAATTCCAATGAGCATGGTTCCCACTTGGGCGTATTTCAGCGCTTCACAACACGCTGAAATACGCCCGAACTAGTACAGGAGCTTCTTTTTGGGGCGTTTTTTCCGCGCGTATCCTTTAGGATACAGTCTGATTTTGTAAACACGCGTTTATTGCGCGTTTAGTTGACCGCAAATCGTGGGGAAAAACGCTCGGCCCAAAACGCGCATCAAATGTGCATATTACGAACGCCCAAGTGTGAACCCAGCCTTACCAAGCTAAGGGAAACTTCCGCTTCAAAGTGCAAATTCCCTATTTGCCTTTAGTAAATCAACCCCATAGACTACAACAGAACACATTTGTACTGTAAAAGAAGGAAGTGTTAGAACCTCTGTGAGGGTTTTATCATTCTTTTACCAGTGGTAATTGTTCTTTTTATGCCCTGCTGTCATAGGTACAGGGAGTTAGGTAAAATCCTCCCAATGGGGTCATAAACAGCAATAAATACTTGAACGTATTGTTTACTCTGCACAACCCTGTCCAGAACATGGACAAGGTTGTGCTATTAGTTGAGAGCCCAGAGCATGCAAAACAAGTCGGCTGTGGCAGCTCTCAAAGTTCCATGTTGACATCATTGTCATTAGTGTGATGTGGCTGCTGCTCATCATCCAATTGGAGATTTGTATGCCACTCACAATGCAACCTTGTGTTGTGATCTGCAGGAATGTCAAATGACTGTTTGTGCGGTCTGGCAGGGGTATCTAAAGTGGAAAAAGAGTGTACGTGTGTAAAACATTCTAGCATTGGGAAGGGTCAGAACCCCAGATAAGTGTATGTATAAAGTCACTCGCACTCCAATAGAATTTCAAGTCAAAAACGGTTTGACTCGATTGCTATCACATTATATAGCCACGTTTCAGAACAACAGCGGTTCCCTCTTCAGGCACTTTCTGTTTGCCTGAAGAAGGAACTGCTGTTCCGAAACGTGGCTATATAATGTGATAGCAATTGAGTCAAACCGTTTTTGACTTGAAATTCTATTGGAGTGGGGGGGGGGAGGGGGGTTTGCTGTCTGTGTCTCCAATGGGGAGATTTTCCCCCTCCAGACAGTTAAGGAGAACTCTTTCCCTACTCAAACTATGACTAAATAAAAAAAACATTTTGCCCATCCGTACATATTCATAGAACGCAGCAAAACATGCAACACGCTTGCGGTGCCATTACTAGTTAATGGCACGCCAAACATAAGTCCGGGCAAGCCTGTAGCCGAATTTGATACATGAGCTACTTTCCCATGTTTGTACGTTCATGTAGATACCCCATTGTAATTGATGGGGAAGCGTGTCAAATGCTGGAAACAAGCGAGCGTTATGCGTGGGTATGAATGGGGAAATTAAGGGGGCTTTTTTGTTTGCCAGAGTCCATTTCCTCCTAAAGTCAGCAGTATAACCCAGTTGCATCAGAATTCAACTGCTTCTGTGTCCTTTATTGAACTTCCAGAAAGGAATTTTATGGCGAGTAGAAAAATCCTGTTTGGCAAATGAGTATTGACGATGTAAAAGACGGGGAAGATCTGTGAAGGTAGGAATGAGTGCGGTGCAGCAGACTATGAATAATACCCCCAGACTCTGTTGATTTAAGTAGTCCTGTCTTGGCACTGCTTTTCCAGCTTCTGCTGACGCTGTATTTTCAGAGCTTTTGTTTTGCTGTTGGCTTGTGTGGTGGAGTGTGTTCATGTAGTTGTGAGGTCTTTAATAGAGAGTAGTGTGCTTCTAGGTAACACCATGCATCATCTAGGTAAGGCAGTATTGGCATTACATGCACACCTGAATGTTCATGGGTTTTACAGAAACTTAGCATGCTTTTGTAAAGGCAAAGCGTATTTTTTTAGTTTGACTTTAGTTCCATTTTAACTTGGATGAATTTTAAGTGCAGGCGGTGGCCTCTTCAACCATTAGCCGGCAACGAATGTAACTTGTGTATGTGCACAGGCATGCATCGTACTCGGCACAATTCTCTGCATTTTGCAGATGGCGGCAGTCTACACTGCACAGCACAGCACATGTACATAGAAACGTCAACTGCTACGAGGCAGCAGAAAAAGTGTTTTGGCAAAAGAGCCTTTGCATGTTTCTTATGCCAGAGACTCGTATGGTTTTATTGTAAGGGCAAAACTTAAAAAAAAAAGTGGGGAAGGGTTATAGTCAGGTTTCTCTTCCTGTTGGTGTACTCCAAGATTCCTCCCCCAATTTGTCCTGGTCACTGAAATGGTGAGGGAAAAGCCAACATTTTAAAGTGGTCACCAGATAAAAATGTGAGTATAAAGCCGGGTATATACATGTCGTCTGTTTTTTTGTTGTTTCTTTTTCGTTCAACCCGCAGGCTCTTTTCGGCCAACAATTTTTCAACTGGCTTCTTCGATCAGCTGATCAAGGGATGCTGGACAGAAGGGTGCGGAGATAGATGGATGGGGATATCACACATACATCACACATACACACACTGTATATGTATGTGCGTACGGTGTTTGTCAAACATGCCTAATTGTATCAGTTGTCATACTAGCTGCCCTTCCATGCCCAAATAAATGTCATGGTGAGGACTGTTAAACTCTGCTGTATACTACCATTTGGAATCGTTCTGTAAGTCAGTAATCAAAATCCTAGCTTCAGTTACCCTTATGCAGCCCTTTGTTTGTAATTCTGAGACTTCTTAAGTATTGCACTCATCATTTGTAAAGTTGGGTGAATGGAGGCCATACATTTTTCTAACTTTAAAGAACTCCAGGCTTTACTAAATTATCCCATAGGGTGTGGCTATCCGATACCGCTATGCAAAGGTTAAAGAAGAACCCTGGGCAAATAATCTTAACCCCTTGCTACCCCATAAGTAAGGGCAAGTGCTTGTTTTGTCTAGGGAGCTAAAATAAGTTATACTCACCCAAACCACAATCCCGGCTGGCTGCTAGATCGGTGCCTCAGCCTGTCTCTTCACTCCAGCGATGGCATGTCCCCCGGCGTCCTCACATCCTACAGAACGTGATGACTGCTGGACCGGAGGGGGGAGAGTGTCCAGGAACCCACTGCAAGGGTTAAGGTTTAATTTGCCCAGAGTTCTCCTTTTTAACTGCTTATTTTGGTCTAGGGACAAAAATAAAGTAGATTTACTCTCCTGATCCTCGGTCCTGTCTGGCTGCTAGACCAGTCTCTGAAACCTCTTCTCCCCCTGGCTCTGGTGGTATAAGGACTTGTAATGTCATCATGCCTAATGCAGGTCTATTAGATGTGAGGACACGGAGGGGGAGAGAGAGGAGTGGTCACTGTTGCAGGACTGAGAATCAGATGAGTGTATAGTCTTTATTTTCACCCACAGACAAAAAGGAGAACTGTAGACTTAGTTGTTTTGAAGTCAAAAAATATTTATTTGAATCCTTTCCACGTTATTAAATGTTTGAAGCAAACGTGGGTTTACTATGCCTCTTGTACCCTTCAGAGAATGAGGCCCAGGTTCACCTTATTTTACCTCCGTTCTCTGCCCCCTATTATTAATAAGGCTTTAGGCTGAGGAGAGACTAATTGTAGAGTTAAACGCATCACATTTCTGTGGAACAAAACAACAAAGTCTTCTTTCTCGACATCTATTTCTGCACAATCCGAGTTTTCTCTCAAATAACAAACTGCCTGTGAAAACAAGGCCTTACTGCACTGACTTCAAAGGTTTTATGTTCTAATGGGGTTTTCATGCCCTAATTAGCTCATGAACTTCATCTCTTTACCAAAAAATGAACAAGGCCAGAATGTTACTTCTAGGCATGTATTTATGTCAATTCCTGTAACAAATTGCATGTTTCAGTGAATTTACATATTTAATAACGGCGTCATGTATATTGTTTTATGTTTTCTCATTTTTTTTCTTTTTTTTTTTTTCTTTTGGGGTTTTTCTTCTAGGTTTGTCCCAGGACAGCAGGAAGAAGGCATTATCCTGGAGGATAAACTTCCCTGTACCGAAGACCCCAGTGGAAATAATTTGCGAATGGGATGAACCCGCCTTTGCTGAGTCCTCATCACCATCGAACGAGAGAATAACAGCATCCATCCGGGGATCTTCACTAGTTATGTTTCCATTTTTACAACACCCAATTTGAGTTTGCGTGTCCTTAAAAAAGAATTCAAAGTGGAGTACCGTAAACTTGATATGGATGGCAAAAAGAAAGACAAAGACAAACCTGATGAAAGAATGGCCCGACCTAGTGGCCGATCAGGTCACAACGCACGTACTGGCTCTTCGAACTCTGGAGTATTGATGGTCGGGCCTAATTTTAGAGTTGGGAAAAAGATTGGATGTGGCAATTTTGGAGAACTGCGATTAGGTAAGATATCAGTCTTTTCATGGAAAACAAAGTCCACTTCCCCAACTGGATAGCAAGCGAACCCAGGATACGACAATTGGTCAATGTCTTTTTTGGCTTTCTCTTGGGTATTGTAGATTGTAAGCTCCACTGGAGCAGGGATTGATATAGGGATTCATGTGGATATTTGCATATGTGGTATGACATAGTGATGTATAATAGTAGCATGGTATTTCAAATACAAGGGTTCAATGTCATTTCATATATATTGCATGACTGGATTCCTCCCACCTGCTTTTTAAAGATGATTTTATTTCAGTCAGTTTGGTTCTCAAATTTGCACTGCTCAGTTTGGAAAGGCAGGAGACCTGATTTTTCACTGCTGCAGTTAAGTAAACTTCAGGTCTTGGCCATCCCACCTTATTAGCTTGTGAGCTTTGCAGCACAACTGACTGGCTTCTTGGTTGCTTCTCCAGGTCAGATTCAGGCACTTCCACTGCTTGAATATATTGATGTAATGATGAATACCATGCTGAAGTCATTTTGTCTGTATTTCTGCATGGAGATCAGCTTCACACTAATGGTATGCATTAGTTGCATGGTTTTGTGTGTGCGTATCAGTGTAGCTGGTGTGTTCGTTGCCATTCTTTTGAATGGTACCCCAAACGCACCTATCAGCCGCAGTGTGCTTGGCCTCATTGCAACATGTGGTACTTCAATACCACGTGATTGAATAAAGTAGTGCATGCGCTAATTTTTTCAACAACACTGGATTGCGCCATAAAAATTGCAATAAAAATTTACTTGCTAAAAAAAACCCCACTGGATTGCGTTGTGGTGCAGTTAAGCTCATTGCAGCCGGGAGGTGTGTTTGGGGTGCCATTCAAATGAATCACAACGCACCTTCCGCACCGTGTGATTAATACATCCCATTGGTGTGAACAAGCCCTTAATGAAGAAAAATATATTGTTTTGTGCAGCCGCAGTGGCTCCATTCTTTTGTGCAAACCTCTGTGCCAAGCATAGGGAGAAGGTACAAACTCAAAGAGCTCTTGATCTAGAAGTAGCAAGTACACAAACAATTTGGCTGATCCAGTATGTTGGGACCACCGTCTCCCTCAGACCTTGGGAATAAGGGGACGTCCCTTTCCCTCAGTCCTTGGGAATCTTCGGACGTCCCTTTCCCCCAGACATGGTCCCCACATTACAAAGGTCTGAGGGAAAGGGACATCCCCAGATTCCCCATCCCCATCTCGAACCTTGGTAACCTGCTGCTGGGTGTAAAGGGGTGCTCCTTTAACACAGAATTGCACTACTCTTCAGAAACTGAAAAGCAAGGAAGAATTTTCTTCACTTTATACTAAACAGCTTTCTCTACTCAGACTATTTTTTTGTTTTGTTCACAAGTCATTGGTGAGGAGTTATTTTCTGATGGTTGAATCTGTAAGAAAGAGTCACTATGGCACACAAACAAATAAGTGATATAAAGTGAAGAAAACAAATGATTTCCTGTAGAGCAGTAAACCGATGTCGGAGAGATAAATTGCACCCCTTTTCTAGTAGTTCACCTGTAGATCCCAAATTTACAGACAAAAGCAGGTTCTGGGAGAAAAGATGCAGCTCAGTGCTTGTAGGTCACCATGTTAAAGCATTCTGGGATTTTTAAAGATGGCGGTGTAGGGAAACAGTGGATGTAAGTAGCTGTACAAAACAAACTAGCCAGTGGTGCTTACATTTTTGTATTTGTGTAACTTGGCTTAAAGGAGAACTATGAGGTTAGTGAAAATCGCTCATCCTCATAGTTGGAGCCGACGTGTGACAATGAAACTGTCACACGTTGGTTCTATAGATCGAGAAGTGAGCAAATATATACCGGCGCTCGCTCACTTCTTGATCATCTCTGACTGCCAGTCACGGCTCCCTGCAGGGATTCCCCCCTTCCCTCTCCGATCTTCCAGCGCGGACTGGGGAAACGGACAGGGGAGGGGGCGGGTACAGCTGGCTCTGCCTCTAGATAGGCAGAGCCCGCTGTTACTCACGCAGCTGGGTGGCTCTCGACAGTAATGTCGGGATCCGTCTCGGCTGAGGTGACCTCAGTATACCGCGAGCTGTAGCTTGCTATATACTGAGCTTTGGGTCATGGGAGGACGCTAATATATGTCCTCCCTTGACCCTTAAGAGAACTATGGGGAAAAACACTTACCCCATAGTTCTCTTTTAAGGCATCTGCATACCAAGACATTTTGGACATTTTCATGCTCCCAACCAGTGCACAAAGCAAGGTACCTAAAGACATGGATGAGCGAGTTTGGGGTGGAGGAACTTGACTGGCCTGCACAGAGTCCTTTGGGATGATTTAGAGCGGAGACTGCGAGCCAGGCCTTCTTATCCAACATCAGTACCTGACCTCATGAATGCGCTTCTGGAAGAATGGTCAAACATTCCCATAGACACACTCTTGTGGACGCCTTCCCAGAAGAGTTATATCGGCAAAGGGTGGGCCAACTCAATATTGAACCCTACGGACTAAGACTGGGATGCCATCAAAGTTCGTTTGTGTGATATTTTACCACCACAGTTTAGGTAAGAATGGAAGGGGGTTGGAGGATGTAGCCATGTTTTGGGAAACATGAGGTGGAAGCCCATGCAAGCACAGGGAAAATATATTTTAACAGAATTGCTTGGCTGAATTATGTTACATTTTGCATGCATCAGCACTTTGACATATTAGGTAGATGTATGTGACAAGCCTTAATGAAGGAAAGATGTCACACCTAATTGATGTGTTTTGGTAATGGAGCACCCGGTCCCAGTTTTGCTTGTGGAGTCATTTTTACAGAAGCTATCTTCATTGAGCAACATGCAGTATAACAAAATAGTGTACTGGCTGGTGCAGAGAGATTATGTGGATCACTTTTTTGGATTGGTTGTGTAAGTTTAACCAGTTGACATCCGCGGTGTTAAACCCCCTTCCTGGCCAGGCCATTTTTCAGTATTCAGCGCTGCGGTACTTTGACTGACATTTATTCCGTCATGCAACAATGTACTGAAATTAATTTTATACCCTTTTTTGAGGACAGATAGAGCTTTCTTTTGGTGGTATTTATTCACCACTGGGGTTTTTATTTTTTACTATATTAAGGAACAATTACCGAATTAAAAAAAAAAGAAGTTTCCCCTATATTAAATGATAAAACATTTATTATTACCCAATCCGGCAGGGGGGGTCCAAAAAAACGAGCACATATAGACGATCGGCGGGCTATGGAGCCGCCGATCGTCTATATGTGAAACACCCGGTAACGGGTGTTTGTATTGGTCGGGTCTTTTCTGCCCGTGCGTGCCCGCAAAAAAAAAATGCCGTCTGGAGACGGCAACCCGCCGATGCTGAAGTGCCGTCCGTCCGTTTTTTTTACAACGGGCGGACGGCAAGTGGTTAAAGTGTATTGCCACTTTTGCAGTATAATTTGAGAACTCCTCTACGGTATGTTTTATGTGTATTCCTATTCACACAGCATATCAAAAAATAAATCTTACCTTTTTTAGATGTTTTGTTCCAGCAGACAACATGGCTGACTCAAGGTTTTGCTCAGCACCTTTACAGTGATCTGCCCTCATTTGAGAGTGATGTTTATCTCATTAACTTCATTAACATACAATGCAAACCCCTCACAACCCCTCCTAACATTATAAATAAGCAAAAAGCCAAGTAGAAATGTTAACATTTTTAAGAAGCCAAGAAACACAAGCAAAACTAATTTAAACTGCATGAAGAATTTTCTTCAATGCTTATGCTATGTGAATAATAAAATGTAACATACAAAGTAAAGTAGGTCTTATTGCTATAATATATAATCTAACTGGTATCCCACTTTGGCTGCAAAGTGGAAATACAATTTAAAGGATGGCCCACACACCAGCCCGCAATGCATTTATCTTGCATAAAGTTTGAAAATATAGTTAAGGTAATAGGAATAGATTTTGGTGTCCACAGTGCTATGTAGGATGTTATGACTGTGATATCTTAGATAACGTTGATGTGGAATAATAGAGAGAGTGTTAGGATTAGGATGCGTAAAATCGAACAATTTATAGTATGTGATGGGGTTTATCCCTGTCTGATCTATGTTGTGCTCTATGATCCTGACGAGGAAATTCCACTTATGGTTTCTCTATTTTTTAGATCAGAGCTTTGTTGTGTTCTCTATAGATTTCTGTGGCGGGTCCCCTCTTAAGCCGGGTCCTTCATAGACTTGTATGGAAAATAAGCCGGGTCCTTCATAGAATTATATAGAAAATAAGCCGGGTACTTCATAGAATTATATGGAAAATAAGCCGGGTACTTCATAGAATTATATGGAAAATAAGCCGGTAGGGCTGCAACAACTAATCGACATAATCGATTATTGAAAAAGTTGTCAACTATTTCAATCATCGATTAATCGGCTTCCGATTGGTTGCCCCTGTTCACGGCTCCACACACGCTGCGCGCCACACCTCTTCCCCACCTCAGACCCGCCCACATCCATGCTCCACACGCCACACCTTCTCCCTGCCTCACGCTCAATGCCCGCCCAAATCCACGGTCGGCACAGGGACGCAGGGAGAAGAAGTAAGGAGGAGCAGGTGTGGGCGGATGACAGCCGCCGATAGACAGGCCCCATCTCAGAAACAGGTTGCTGGAAGACTGCTCAGGTAAGCCTGCACTTTCCCCACATGGTGCTCTATAATCTATGGCTGGGATAGTGGGATTTGTATTCCTCTATAGTTGATGGTACATTGTGCTGTATATTATACAGACCAATGTACCATCAGCTATAGAGGACTACAAATCCCAGCAATACATTATACACTGTATGTATAATGTATTGCTGGGATTTGTTGTATTCCTATATAGCTGGTGGTATTCTGCATTGCGCTGTATAGAGGACTACGAAACCCAACAATAGTACATTATAGAGCGCAATGCGGAATTCCACCAGCTTTAGAGGACTACAACACCCAGCAATAGTACAGTATAC